TTTCGGGGGTCTAAGTGGAACAAGGGAAACACGAATCACATCCAGGGCTTGATTTTCGATCGGTTTCCCTCCTGGTGAGTCCCAAAGAGTTTGATAATTCAGCTGTACCGAGCTTCTACCATTTCAACTTGCAAAGTAAACGCTGATACCTGCCACGAAAATCTGACAAGTTTCAACTGAAATAACCCAGGAATGAAATACCCCCTTCTGAATCCATCAACCCTTGAATTACTGTGAGATTTTCAGTTCCATTCAGTAAGAACAAGAGAATAAATCGTCCGATACAAATTGGTTGTTGCTGTTGCTTATCTTAATTCGGCACTGTCAAATGGTTCGCTTGTATCCGTTCGTCTGACGTTGGATCATCCAGGGTTTTCCGAAATATTTTTTACAAAATGTTTTCTTCCGGTCAAACACAGAGCTAATTGCTCAGACTGAACAGGTTTCTTTAAACCCGTCCCACCCCAGCATTTCCAGGACTTGGAAAATTGAAACGGCTAGTGACCTCCAGTATGCAAAGAAAAATTCTAATTTTTCTGGTCAGACTGGTCAAAGTGACCCCATCATAATGCATACATATGGCTTCTCGAGTCTCAAGGGGGAGGATTCGGACATTTATCAACCATTTTAGTAAAAACATAATAGGGGAGCTTTGATTAAAACAAGTGGAGCACTCACTGATCAGCCAGACAGTGCAGATTATCAGGTCACAGGCACAGGCTCAGACAGTCAACTATCATTGGTAACAATGTTTCACAATTAAAGTGAGCTGAAATATTCTTCAGTTTGAAAGAAAAGTTCGATTTGTTTCTCTTATACTATGAAAATATTCAGGAATAGCTTTGAATACGGAAAAACTCTTCTAATGTGAGTCTGAATCAACTTTTTGGTTCAAACGACTGCATGTGTTTAAATTATGCAGCACTGTGATGCACGCTCCTCACAATTCAGATGAGATGAAAAGGATCACTCCAATGTAGAGTGCTCAATTATGAGGATGATTCGAAAGGAGAGTACCGCGTACACATACCTTAGGAGCAGCAGTAAACACGAAGCCGGTCGTGTGCTTCCGGAAGAATTTGTCCCGTCACCCAGATACAATAATATCCTACTTGCATAAATGAGTAGGTATCACCTTCATTCCCGCCAGTGTCCAGTGTGAATTGATCTGTATGAGTTGTTACACGACTCTCAACTCCTACGGATCCGTTAAAATTATTCTGACAATTTTCAACTGAAATAACCCAGGAACGAAATTCCCCCTTATAAATCCATCAACCCTTGAATTACTGTAGGATTAGCAGGTCCATTCAATAAGAAAAAGAGAATTATATACCATATTCACGATGATGGAGCAGGCTTTACTCCAAACAATCAATGGACATGAGTTGGCATTCCAGGGAGTCGGGAATGTCTATTAGCCCATTTGATACGTTTTTCAGTGACAGATATTTCTCGAAATCTGTCCGTAAATGACACTATGTTTACTCGTCATAGCCATGTGGAACATTGTGTCATTACAAGAGACAGTGGGTAGAAGCAAGTGATTTTGATTCAAGCAACTCTTTCTATCTGGATTTTGACAAGGAAAAACACCATCTGAAGAGAATTGAATTCATTTAGTGGGAACATTTTCTGATAAATTTCACTAGGCTGTCGAATGGATGGGCGACGTAAGGTAAGCAACATCGGCTTTCGGTCGATCTGGGGCGGGCGTTTGGTTATCAACGAAGGTCGTCATGTGTTGGGAAAAATGCAAATTAATGTGCAAACCATCTTGTCGAAAACCCTCATTTTAATACGATCCACGATGAAGCTCACAAGGCTTACAAAACGTGAATCTTGATAAGAAATTCTCCAAAGAAACTCAGTCTGGTATGCCTGCTGTTGCAAACCAATTAAGCCCATTGGAATTAGCTGCAATGAATCATGATAAAACTTATCCGGATGGAAGTGTCATCTACAGCACTTTGAACAACGCGAGTTCTGAGAAGACTACAGGTGTTGTGAAAATTCGAATGAAAAAGATTTTGCTTCGCGATGGGTCTTTTGTTCCTAATTTTCTTCATAATTTACCGAACAAACGTTGTTAATATAAAGTTGTGTACTAACTTGATGTAAATAACTAGCTATAGCCCTGTTCTGTTTCTTGAAAAATTTGAATTTCCTTGGTCTTAGTCAACACGACAAGTTGACCGAGTTTGGTAAACGGTCAAATATGAATGTGGTGTAGTACACAAGGATGAGCACTCCTCTGCCTGGGGATTGTTCGTTGTTCGATCCGCAAAATAAAAACCAATTCCACTGTGTCGGTTCAAGTGGTCACTCGCGCAATCACTGTCTCACACGCATGCACCGCTATTGACTGCCTATTGATTGATGGCTTGACCACTCTGGATCGCATTTACTGCTTGAGTTTGCCAAAGGAATATTCACTTGTTAGCTTGCCCGCCCACAAGCGAGTTAACTGATGTGTTAATAAACGGATCTGTTGCGTACTTAGCTCTCCGTTAATTCCGATCACAACAAATTGTATGAGCAAAAGGCTCAGTCACTGTTTCATCGGTAACCCACACTTACAATAATTGAACAGTAATATGGCTTCCAATAGCCTGCTCAATACAGTATTATTTAAAACTATGGAGATCAAGTTTACCACAGATGGTTTTCTCCACTAAGGAATAAGTACTAATCACGCCAGGAACAGTTAATTTTGCTGAAGGTTCGATTTTATTAGTGTTGCACAGTAGGAAGAAAAAACAGCAAACACAACTGCATTATGTCATGGCTCTATAGAAATTTCGCTGTTCATAGCAGGCTGGCGGGAAAAAAAGTGATTATTTGGAATGCACGACACTGAAATCAGGGTCGTATGAGCTTCCGGGGCTATGTTAGCTGATAACAAACATGATCGCCACAAAACAGTTGATTATTGATTGACCTTTGGCGATCATCTCTTTTAGAGTTATTTCAAGCTACATAACTAGTGTGATAAAGAGCCCGGAATTACAAGATACTGATTGCCAGAATCGAGACATTTGATCCGTCACGTAAAGCTGCCATTTTGTGCTATCATCACTCTGTTCCTTGACAGTGTTGCAACTTGTTCCTCAGGACAATTTCCATTGCAAAAAAAGAGGATTGTTCCTTTCTGTTGACTCTATCAGCCAGCTGTGTCAACCAGCTAAAGACGATCCTACTATTATGCCTGAGACAAATGCAAACTATTACGAAGAGAATGGGATGCCGAAAATTGAAGAGGGGAGAAAGTACAGCTATTTGATGTCCACATCATTCGGAGTTCCCAACCGATTGACAACCAACAGTTCGATCATCAGGATTTTCATCCCCGGCTGCCGTTCCCGAAAAATTCGCAACAGGCAATAATTGGTATCTTTGGGGGAAACAAATAAGAACTTTTCTCAAGAGTTTCCGAAACATGTGTTATTCCAACGTGATCTACGGCATAATCACGGCAGAGATATTCGACAGGGTGGTTAACTCAAGAAAACTGGGGAATGGGGTTCTTCCGGAGATATTTCGCGCTGTAGACAGCTAACTGATACACCGAAACTGGTAACGGAATGATAGAGGGGGAATTCCAAGCCCAGATCCAAAATGCGGATGAGACCATCTTTACGTATGCGAGTAACATTTGTTACCTAACTGGACGAGGTTTTGCCGATGAATCCCTGAACAGTTTGTCCTCCTCTAGAGATAAAATAAATTACTTACGTAATTACTGGAAGATTTGGAAACTCTCGTAGAATGAGCAGAAATAAGTGAACGAAGGGACAAACAATCCCAAACGTGTTTCGCAATTCAGGCACGCCACCGCTCAACGGCGCGTATATATATATATATATATATATATATATATATATATACATATATATATATATATATCGATCGATAGGAATGATTATGAGAAGAAGATGGAAAGTGTTCTTCATGATCCCAGCAAGTTCGTACTCGAAGATGACTGTGAAGACCCTAAAGGACTAGAACAACAGATATCGACAGAAGTACAGTTTCTACTAGAAGGACATCTCATCGACTAAGGACAGCACAGCTCACCATCTGAAGCCAAAAGGAACTCAAATTGCACAACTGTATGGTTTACCGAAACTACACAAACCCCGAGTGCCACTTGGACCAATATTACTAATACTGCTACTAATACTACTACTACTACTACTATCTATCTATCTATCTATCTATCTACCTATCTATCTATCTATCTATCTATCTATCTATGATAAGTTCACCACAACACGAATTGGCCCAATGGATGGAGAAATTGCTCGAGCCAGTTCATAAATCAATGGTCAGACACACTATGAAAGACAGTTTCGAAGTAGTAAAGCTTTTGGACCAGATCAATGTGAAAGGGAAACACATGGCTACATTTGATTTCCAATCACTGTTTACGAATGTTCCCGGTCGGGAGGTCATACGTATCATCTGTGACCATGTGGAGCAAAACCAACTGAAAATCGGTATACCAGTATCAGTTCTGGTTAGACAATTACTACTGTGCACAACAAACGTATCGTTCTCCTTCCTTGGTCGGGCTTACATACAAATTGACGGTGTCCCAATGAGAACTCCATTGAGTCCCATTCTGGCACATATATTTATGGCTCGTCTTGAGGAAAAGGCAAGCAAAATCCTCCAACATTCACAACTTTACAAGCGATACGTTGATCATGTTCTAGTCATCACAATAAGTCTATAAGAGACAACATGGATTATGGATGAACTCGATCGCTTGCATCCGAATATACGATTTACGATGGAAGCAGAACGCGAACATACACTGCACTTCCTCGACATTAAAATGACTAGGAAGAATGATGGAACAATCGATAGATCTGTTTGCCTAAAAAGAAACTTGGACAGGCCAATGCTTGCAATTTGACAGCTTAGTGTCTGTAGAATATGAAAGTGGTCTGGTCCGAGCACTATTTCAAACAGCACGACATATCTGCACAGAAGACATGATTGACAACGAACTACGACAGCTGAAAGAATCTTTGACTAGAAACGCTTATTCCGATGCATTTATCGAAAGGCACAGCAAGCCTAAAGTGATCAGACAAACGAATTCGTCAGCAGAAAAACAACTAGTCACCATTTGTCTTCCATTCAAACGTGATGACATCAATTGCTTGCTCAAACGACCACTTGGATCAGTGCTTGCCCGAACATATTATGCAGCTGACCTCAGAATGGTTCATCGAACGATTGAGATCCCCACAACGTCGGTGAAACAACGTCCACCTCTGTACACCAAATCGAATCTTATTTCATGAGAACGGAGCGAAGACATAAGTCGCCAGATACAAGCATTTCGTTTACTCTTGTCAACCGCGGACGTAAAACGTGATTTACCATTTTCATGATAGTTGCGGAGCAACCTACGTGGGTCGAACAGAGCGGCAGTTACGTAACCGAGTGATTGAATATATTCCAAATTGGGTACAACGTTTTGTGATGCAATCAGGATCAGATCAAAGGCACAATGACAACGTTCGACACCATAAGATCCCGTCGTCGGCCGTCGCTCGTCATCTTCTGATGACGCAACATCCAGCTGACCGAAGCACTGCGTTTCGGGTCAATTACGTGGCAAAGAATACCAGGCTTTTGAGGTTTGTTCAAACCATTGCCATACATTGATGGAAACCTAATATTGTGTCAGCGGAAACAATTCTTTGTTCATGTGTCTTTACCATGGTGACGTAATTTGACTATTGAAATTTCCCCTATATTTATCGAAAATTATGGTTTTACATGAACTTATATAAACAGTATGGTTGTGCAGTGTGCACCATGTTGAGATGCGGCGAAATCGTCCCGGACATGAATCGTGCAATGTTGCAACTGTGGCTCTTCTTTTCAAGATTATTTCGGGAAAAGCATGCCTAAATTTCCTCAGATCTCGTCTCCCGAAATCAACCATTAGGTCTCTCGATGACCTAGTCAGTTTGATATGTAAAATTGCCACGATTCGAGTTCGTATTAATTTTCTGGAACAAAATGTTTCCGTTGCAATAGATACCCGATTACGTTTTGCAAACGCTTACGGAGGAATAAGATCTGTGCCTCTTCCAGGAATTTGAGACGTTTGATGCGATGTCAGATTGATGAAACATAACCATAATTTTCGATAAATATTGGAGAAATTTCCATAGTCAAGTTACGTCACCATGGTAAAGACAAATGAAAAAGAACTGTTTCCGCTGACACAATATTAGGTTTCCATCAATGTATGGCAATGGTTTGAACAAACCTCAAAAGCCTGGTATTCTTTGCCACGTAATTGACCCGAAACGCAGTGCTTCGGTCAGCTGGATGTTGCGTCATCAGAAGATGACGAGCGACGGCCGACGACGGGATCTTATGGTGTCGAACGTTGTCATTATGCCTTTGATCTGACCCTGATTGCATCACAAAACTCTCGAGGATTTTGCTCGCCTTTTCCTCAAGATGAGCCATAAATAGATGTGCCAGAATGGGACTCAATGGAGTTCCCATTGGGACACCGTCAATTTGTCTGTAAGCCCAACCAAGGAAGGAGAACGATACGTTTGTTGTGCACAGTAGTAATTGTCTAACCAGAACTGATACTGGTTTACCGATTCTCAGTTAGTTTTGCTCCACATGGTCACAGATGATACGTATGACCTCCCGACCGGGAACATTCGTAAACAGTGATTGGAAATCAAATGTAGCCATGTGTTTCCCCTTCACATTGATCTGGTCCAAAATCTTTAATAATTGGAAACTGCCTCTCATAGTTTGTCTGACCATTGATTGATGAACTGGCTCGAGCAATTTCTCCATCCATTGGGCCAATTCGTGTTGTGGTGAATTTGTCATAGATAGATAGATAGATAGATAGATAGATAGATAGATAGTAGTAGTAGTAGTATTAGTAGTAGTATAAGTAATATTGGTCCAAGTGGCACTCGGGGTTTGTGTAGTTTCGGTAAACCATGCAGTTGTGCAGTTTGAGTTTCTTTTGGCTTCAGATTGTGAGCTTTGCTTTCATCGATGATGTGTCCTTCTAGTAGAAACTGTACTTCTGTCGATATCTGTTGTTCTAGTTCTTTAGGGTCTTCACAGTCATCTTCGAGTACGAACTTGCTGGGATCATGAAGAACACTTTCCATCTTCTTCTCTTAATCATTCTGATCGATCAGTACTGCTCCGGACCCCTTGTTAGGCCGTAAAAGTAACAAATCAGGTCGCAACTGTAGCTCTTCAATGGCGGATGTGAATGTGCTTAGGCGTGAAGAGTGACTTATGTTTGGACGATGTCATCCGGTACTGTCGTTCCAAGTCAATCAGCTTTGCTTTGAACCAAGTCTCCGCATCTTTTCAAGTTGGTTTGACTATTTGTAGTTGTTCGAATAGATATTCGAATTGCGCCTGTGTCTTTATGCTGTTTATTTTACTCGGTGGTATGCACAAACGTAGACCACACGAAAGAGCCTGTAGTTGAAGTTCATTCGTGCAACCGATGACAAATTGTTCACAAACGTTTCTCGTTGTTTCGGAAAATTTGGTTCGGCTAACTTGTGAACGATGGAATTGTGAAGCTTGTTGAATGCACAAAGTTTGGCTTTTCGTATGTTTCCCATGCACAAGTTGGTAAATTTGATTCGGCTAACGAGGCTCAGTTCGTCAAGATTTATTGATCATTCGATGCATATGGTGTGAAGTGTCGTTAGATTTTCTTTATAATCATCAATCTGACATTGCATCAAACGTCTCAAATTCCTGGAAGAGGCACAGATCTTATTCCTCCGTAAGCGTTTGCAAAACGTAATCGGGTATCTGTTGCAACGGACACATTTTGTTCCAGAAAATTAATACGAACTCGAATCGTGGCAATTTTACATATCAAACTGACTAGGTCATCGAGAGACCTAATGGTTGATTTCGGGAGACGAGATCTGAGGAAATTTAGGCATGCTTTTCCCGAAATAATCTTGAAAAGAAGAGCCACAGTTGCAACATTGCACGATTCATGTCCGGGACGATTTCGCCGCATCTCAACATGGTGCACACTGCACAACCATACTGTTTATATAAGTTCATGTAAAACCATAATTTTCGATAAATATAGGGGAAATTTCAATAGTCAAATTACGTCACCATGGTAAAGACACATGAACAAAGAATTGTTTTCGCTGACACAATATTAGGTTTCCATCAATGTATGGCAATGGTTTGAACAAACCTCAAAAGCCTGGTATTCTTTGCCACGTAATTGACCCGAAACGCAGTGCTTCGGTCAGCTGGATGTTGCGTCATCAGAAGATGACGAGCGACGGCCGACGACGGGATCTTATGGTGTCGAACGTTGTCATTATGCCTTTGATCTGACCCTGATTGCATCACAAAACGTTGTACCCAATTTGGAATATATTCAATCACTCGGTATTTCTGTTATCAATTGTTTCCTCAGATCTTTTTTTAGCATGTTTTTACATTGTGTACAAGTCACCCATCACCAACATCATCATCGTTGTGGTCTACAGAGAATTTCACAAGATCATCTTGTGTCATATTTCGTTGAGTTTATTGCCCAAAAATAGATTTGTAGCTGTCTCACTCACTGTTATATTTCGCGCTGATTTAGTTTGTCTATGACAAACAAAAATACACATTTGAACCTCGGGTTTGATCAAAATCTGCCACCATCCACCGGTTTGTGCTAGAAGTAGGGATGAGAAATTCGTGGGGGTACGACCGAGACACAAAGAAACTGTCTATCTTCGAAAAGTGTTTGGAAGTAGACGACGTTGAGTAAGTTGTTTTTTGGTGCTTGGTTTTTGGAAATTCTCCAGGATAGGCCATCAGAAATCGACACAAATACAGATTTTCAAGAGGTAGTTTGACCCCTCTGTAGTATATGGAACATGTGCTCATCACTTCCTTACCAAAAAAGAGGCAAAATCTTATGAAAGTGCATGATTTAGTTGGAAATACGACAACTGAGTCGTTTCAGATAAGTATCAACTCCTTTATTAGATTGGTTCTAATTGAATAGGAAACAAATCATTGGGACGAACAGAAGTTGTGGAATATTTGTTCAATTTCATGGGTACCTCAGAAGACCTAGTACTTCAAAGGCAAACAGAAACGCTCTTGGCAAATAAGATATTCGTTTTTACACCAAGAACACTCTGGTATCTTCACCCCGTATACATCAGTCAAAATAGCGGAAATGATATTTCTTCGGTGAAGCAAACATGACTAATGAGTTAATACCATATGGACCTGAAAGGATTCCACCACCACGGATGATGATAATGGTAGTGCAGGTTCAGTTTGCTCCTCTGCCCTACCACGAGTACAAGCTCATGCACCAGTTGACACCCAATGACATAAGACTATAAAATCTACTGATTTTAAACCTAATTTATGAAAGCTTATGTGAGGGTATGGGCTGACTCATGGTCGATAGCAAGCCATGTCCCGTCAGTAATCGGCATGTCAGCGCCTGGCCGGAATCCAAGTCAGTGCTTGTGCCAGCGGATGCTCGAATGACAATGCAGCGAATCGATGAGACGCGAACGGATTCCCGTCAAATGGCAGCTGGTCGTGTGATCAATCAACCAATAAGAGGACAGGCTACTTATCGTTGCAACGACTGACGTCAATGATTGTTTCTTCCTATATAAACGATGTGTTTCTAGCTGATAAAATAAGATGATTCGTGAGCGGAATAGACTTCTCACTAGAGCTAGTGGGACGCAACGAAACAGCTTACTCTCTATAACCAAGACTTTAGATAATTAGAAGATCCATGGATAATTCTGTGTCACTGTTAAGTACTCATAACACATTTCATTCATGCACCTTTTTTCTAGGCACTCAAAAAGTAGCATATGTGAAAATTTTTCACGCTATGGTCGCCTTAGATTATGAAAGAATTTGGAGATCGGAATGCAAGTAGTCGCCCTTAACTAGGTTCAGTTTTGAAGCGACCCTCGCCAAACAGTTAGCCTTGCAATTGATCTGTCAATACTTTTGAAAGTGAGGGTTGATTGTAGCATAGGCTAGTGTTCTTCAACGGTCAGTCAGTGTAGCAAGGCAATCGAATGATATGTTTCCTCAAGTTCCACAAGAGAACGAACAAAATGGGGCAGTAAAACCATAGACCATTCCAAAATCCGTCCCATACAACTGTTTCTTACCTCACTTGATTCTCTAGTGAATATGAAGCTTTCTAAGGTGTCCGTCTGTATCTGCACGAAGATGCTGAAAGCAAAGACCCCGCTGGATGGCCGACTTTAGG